GCCATATATGTGTACACTGTAATCTGCCCTGAGTCCCCTGCGGGGTGAGAAGGACGGAATATAAAAGCTGTAAATAAATAAATAAATAAATAAATAAATAAATAAATAATATACAGGCCATCCCCAAATAACAAATACTTGACTTACAAATGACTCAAAGTTAAGAACAGGGCTGAGACAACAGTAAGTGAGAGAAATCCACCCCTAGGAAGAAGAGGAGGAGAAGGAGGAGGAAGAGGAAGAGGAGGAGGAGGAGGAGGAGGAGGAGGAGGAGGAGGAGGAGGAGAACTTTATTTTTTCTACTCCACCTCCATCTCCTCGAAGGGACTCGGGGAGGCTTACATGGGGCCAAGCCCAGGCAAAATACAATTAAAAGCAAAACAATAACAAATTAAAACAGCATAACAGTAATAAACAGGCATCAAGCAACAGCAAACTAATTTTGGAGGGGGGGAGGGTCCACTATGCAAACTAGTTAAAGGATAGGGGTTCAATAAGGTGGATAGAAACGTATAATAGCATAGGAAATAGCGTGGAAACAGAGCAATTAAACAGGATCAGTTCAACTTAAACTTAAATATATATATAGTGATGTAATATAGGAATTCAGGGAAATTCACTCCTGAAAAAGTTATCATGGGAAAAAGGTATCTCAACTGAAGCTTTATCATCAATCCTTGTTTCCACAACAAGCAACTTTTTTCAAAATCCAATGATTACAAGGACAGTAAGTTAGGGAAAATTTTCTGAACTGAGGTACAGATAGAAAAACAAGTACCACAGGTGTATTAAGTCTTCCCTATGCTATCCAAAGCTAATATGTGTATATTAGGGCTGGGCGGTTTCGTTCGTTAATTTCGTAATTCGTTATTAATTCGTTATTTGTTTTGATAACGAAGCGATATTGAACCATTCAGGAGCAACTAAAAAACGAAACGAATTTTTCCAATTCGTTTCGTAATTGTTTCGAAATTTGTTTCGTAATTGTTTCGAAATTGTTTCGTTATTATTTCGTTATTATTTCCGTATGTCTGGTGCAAGTTTTATAGTCGTTGTTTGTTTTATCAGTGATAAAAAAAATTATCACACCAACAGTCAACAACAGAGGGAGAGGGAAGCTTCAGAAGTTCCCCCTGTCCCATTTGGAGGGTTTTTTAGCGTATTGCGCAATTGCGTCCGCCATTAACGAATCGATTCGTTATTGTTTCGAAATTGTTTCATAATTTCCGAAATTTCGTAAATATCAAACTTTTTAAAAGAAAAATTTCGGAATTCTTTTAAATAACGAAACGCAAAACCCCCCTAAAAACGAATCGAGTTTAGAAACAAATTTTTCCATGGTTGGACAGCCCTAGTGTATATGGGTAGAGTTCCACATGAAAAAATGTACCTGTTCCGACATAGAAATCCAACTTAAGGACAAACCAACAGAACCCCTCTTGTTCGTAACTTGGGGACTGCCTGGATACATTCCAAATGATTGTTCTCTTTACTTTCAAATGAAGTAACAATAACATTATATGTGGTTTTAAATTCTTAAACTTGCATCCAATTTCTACTTCCAATAGAGAATAGCAATAAGCTCACTTGGATGAGCTACCATTCAGCATTTAATTTAATGGATCCATTGTTCTTGGCACAAATGATTGGAAATATACCTAAAACGACTTAGGATAGCTTTCATGTAGGCCTTGGCATTCGTTCTCATGAATGCGTAACCAAAAAATGCAACCACCATAGAAACATTTCACTTTCCAGAGGATCAGATTTGTTCTGCTCATCTATAATTAGTTTTAAACAGGGCCAAACTGTTGCAAAAGCCAATCATAAGGATGTTGGTAATAAATACATGACTAACCTCCTTTTTTTCTCTTTCTGACTCTTGCATTAACACATTTAATTATACAAACCCTGTTTGCAGCACCTGACTGGCCTCAGATTATCTCTGCTTTCTCAATTTATCCACCATATTTATCCCATATGCTGTTTTTCAGCATATATGTGTTATTCTCTTTAACACAAGTGAAAACACAAAGGGCAGCTGTAGTTAACCTTTGGGTTGTCAGATGCTTTGAGGTACATCTTCTTTAATCTCATACAATTTATTGTGTTGTGCTTCTGAGAGCTGAGGTTTGAAACATATTGTTGGGCATGACTGCAAGTTGCCTACAACTTGTGCGCCAGCTGCGCTCGTACCTTGGGAAGTCTGACTTGGCCACGGTGGTCCACGCTCTGGTTACATCCCGTATAGACTACTGCAACGCTCCCTACATGGGGTTGCCTCTGAAGCTTCAACTAGTCCAACAAGCGGCAGCCAGAATACTAACAGGAGCAGGGTACAGGGAGCATACTACTCCTTTGCTGCGTCAGCTCCACTGGCTGCCAATTAGCTTCCGAGCACAATTCAAAGTGCTGGTGCTGACCTATAAATCCCTAAACAACTCTGACCCAGTTTACCTGTCCAAACGGATTCTCCCCTATGAACCATCAAGGTTGTTAAGATCTTCTGGAGGGGCTCTGCTCTCGGTCCCACCACCCTCGCAATCACGTTTGGTGGGGGCGAGGGACAGGGCCTTCTCGGTGGTGGCCCCTCGGTTCTGGAACTCTCTCATGCTGGAGATTAGATCTACCCTTTCCCTCCTGACTTTCAGAAAGCTGGTAAAATCTTGGCCTTGGAATATAGCATTTGCAGAATGATGATCAAGTCAATACTGCTGACCACACCGGCGGATGGTGATGTGATTTTACTTTGACGACCTGGCTTTTTGTAATTGTATGATCTGTATTTTAATGTATTTTATGTATTAATGTAGTACGATGCTATTATGTTTCTCCTACTTGTGTATGAATTTCCTGCTGTTAGCCGGCCTGAGTCCCTCTTCGGAGGTCAAGAAGACTGGGTTATAAAAGCTCTAAATAAATAAATAAATAAATACAACTTGGCAATCCATGAAGTTTTCTTAGCAAGATATGTTCTTAGAGGGTTTGCACTTCCTCAAGCTGAGAGAGTGGGACTTCCTCAAGGTCACCCAGTGACTTTCTATGGTTAAAAGGAGATTTTAATCATATTCCATTACTAAAACCACTAAACCAAGCTGGTTCTGCAAATGTGTGTGTGTGGAGTAGGACTTTGCACCTGTAATAATATTACTTTGAAGGCAATTCATAAAGAATTATGTTTTGCAGTTTAATGTAAACTATTTAGGCCGGGACATGGAGGTACTGTTTTGCAGTGGCTCCGGTCCTTCCTAGAGGGTCGATCTCAGAAGGTGTTATTGGGGGACACCTGTTCAACTCCACAACCATTGTCTTGTGGGGTTCCTCAGGGTTCAATATTGTCTCCCATGTTGTTTCACATCTACATGAAGCCGCTAGGGGAGATAATCCGGAGTTTCAGGGTACAATGTCATCTATACGCGGATGATGGCCAACTCTGTCACTCCTTTCCACCTGCTACTAAGGAGGCTGCTCAGGTCCTGAACTGGTGCTTGTCTGTTGTAATGGTCTGGATGGGGGCGAACAAATTGAAATTGAATCCAGACAAGACAGAGGTCCTCCTGGTCAGTCGCAAGGCCGAACAGGGCATAGGGTTACAGCCTGTGTTGGATGGGGTTACACTCCCCCTGAAGACTCAGGTTCGCAGCTTGGGTGTGATCTTGGACTCATCGCTGAGCCTGGAACCTCAGGTTTCAGCAGTGATCAGGGGAGCATTCACATAGTTAAAACATGTGCGCCAGCTGCCCCCTTACCTTGGGAAGTCTGACTTGGCCACAGTAGTCCATGCTCTGGTTACATCCCGTATAGACTACTGCAACGCTCTCTACGTGGGGTTGCCTCTGAAGACTGCTCGGAAGCTTCAAATGGTCCAATGCTCGGCAGCCAGGATGCTAACAGGAGCAGCACTCAGGGAGCGTACAACTCCTCTGTTCCGCCAGCTCCACTGGCTGACAATTTGCTACCAGACACAATTCAAAGTGCTGGCTTTAGCCTATAAAGCCCTAAACGGTTCTGGCCCGACTTACCCGTCCGAACGCATCTCCTCCTATGAACCAGTTAGGACATTAAGATCATCTGGGGAGGCCCTTCTCTTGGTCCCGCCGACATCACAAGAACGCCTGGCGGGGACGAGAGATAGGGTCTTCTCAGTGGTTGCCCCTCGGCTGTGGAATGCCCTTCCTACAGATATCAGATCGGCCCCCTCCTTATTGGCATTTTGGAGGAAAGTGAAGACCTGGCTGTTCGAACAGGCATTTGATTAGGCAGTGTAATTGATTATAGGAACATGGAATAACGGATGATGAAACTGGATTCTGATTCTATTGATGAGACGTAAATGATTTGTCATATTGATGTTTAATTGTTGTTATGCTATTGCTTTTAAATGTTCCAAGGATTTTGTAATGTTTGTATTGAACTGTTGTTGTTAACCGCTTTGAGTCGCCCAAGGGCTGAGAAAAGTGGTATATAAATGAAGTAAATAAATAATAAATAAATATAAGGAGCTGATTTTTTTAGTGATCAAAACATTTGCAGTCCATAGCGTATACTAACAAAATATATCCATATCCCCTGAATTCTAAACACTTATGCTTCTGAATATCTTCATACTTCTTTCCAATAACATACAAACACACTTCAAAAGGTGAAGAACTTTTCAAAAAGTAAGTCTACAACTTAGAATAGAACCAACGCCATTGCTTATCAGTGATCTTGACATACCACCTTATCACAGTGAGAAATTTCCCAGTCGTAGGACACTTCAGCCTCTATTCAAACATGGAGAGGCACTGAGATCATCGCATGAGTTAAACTACTTCTGGCAGTCATGCATAGCCTTCCATGGTTGAAAAGAGGCAGAAGCGTCCTGAAAGGAGTAGCAATCAATCTCATCACACTGAGAAATTTCCCCCTCGTAGAACACTTAAGCCTCTTTTCTAGCATGGAGAGGCACAGAGTTCCCAACAATGCTCAACAGTGATTTTATTTGTTTTTCTCTTTAGGGGCTGATGTCATCAATTTTGATGGTCAAGGTGTTTTACCATACAGATTTGGACACAAGAAGAAAACACTGAAAACACTGAAAGATGTCATCGCGCTGAAGTTTAAAACCTCTGAAAGTGAAGGTGTAATCTTCCATGGAGAAGGACAACAAGGAGACTATATCACACTAGAACTGAAAATGGCCAAGCTAGTCCTTAATTTAAATTTAGGTATAGTTTGATTTAAAAACACCAGCCTATACAGCCCTAAACAATGATGTTCCTTGGTTTTATGTTTTCTGTTCTTAAGCTGTCTTTGGGGATGGGGTGGGGGGATGAAAAGCTGTTTTCATGTGAAAAAATATAGATAGATTTCTATATTAATTTAATAGCTTTGGTCTTATAATAGGATCAAGCTTGTTCTGGAAATAGTTTAATGTTGTGGTCCTCAAAACTATGATAATTATGGGCAATTTTTCTTTCCCTAGTTTGGGAAAGGGGGGAGCTCTACTTCTTGTCACTACTTTTGTGCTGGAATGTAATAGAAGCTGGTTGCTTTCCTTGCTTTCCCTCACCGCTTTTCTCTTTCAGACCACAATCTCATTTTCTGCCTTATTTATATTCGTTTCCCTATCTGTATTTGCATAGAATTTAAGATCAGCAATGCAATTTATACCCCATTGTAACCTCTTTCTTTCTCTAGCCCCTTTCTTTCTCTAGTTAACAGTCATTGCTTGTTATAGACCTCTAAGACTTACATCCAATTTACCTTTGGGTCATAGCAATATTCATTATTTGGACCGCCAAATCTGCTTCCAACTTATACACAAGGTTGACTTAAACATGAGTATATATCGGTATTTATTAGAGGTGTGCAAATGAATTGTAAAAAATCAGAAATCAAAAGAAACCATAAGTTTTTGTGAGTTGGAAGCCTTTCCAATTTGTTAGCATGACCCACTCAAAAACTTAAAAATCAAAGCTGACCCCCTTACTTTTTCATTACTGTTTTGTAAAGCTCGGAAGGTTCCCAGCCAGTTTCATTCAATGCATGGCAAGACAGCAAGCTGGTACTAGTAAAAGGAAACATAAGTTTTGTTTCCTTTTGCTTATTGTTTTGCTTGATGTTTTATTATTTGCTTATGAGTTTTACTGTTATATTTGTATATTACTGTTTGTTGGCGGCCTTGGCCATTGTAAGCCGCATCGAGTCCTTTGGGAGATTTTGCGGGGTATAAATAAAGATAATAATAATAATAATAATAATAATAATAAATAATAATAATAAATAAGAAAATCTAAAGCTACCATACCTGCCTCCTTTGCCATTCCTCTCCCTGTAAATGGCTTCTCTGTATGAAGACAGGGAGCGTTGCATTTTTGGAGTAGGAGAGAACTTGGGAAATGTAGTTTGAGAAGGGTGGCAGCCCTGTGCCAAAGAATTCAAAAGTCCCTGCCCTAAACTACAATTCCCAGTATGCATCAGAATGAGAATGCACCAATCAGGAGAGGAGAGAGGAAGCTGTTCCTCCCTAAACAGTCCATTTGGTCTAAAGCTATCTAGCAGCTTGTGATCCCTTTATTTTATCAGTTTTAGTTAAATTATTTTATCAGTTTTAGATAAACTATTTTATGTAATGCTTTTGACATGAAATAAACATTTCATTTATATGAAAACCTTTTGAAAGAATCTCAAAAATCAGTAGATGTATGAGTACTTCTGAAAGTTGGGGGGGGGGATGATCCCCTGTTATCTTGGAGAGAAAAGTTTGTAAAAACTTTAAAAATCCCCCCCCCCCAAAAAAACATGGATAAGTGAAACATTATGAAACTTGACGGGTAAAGAGTGGTAAATGTGTTCTACCATTGTAGCAAGTTTCACCCCAGTAGTTTTAAAAATGAAGTTTCCCCAGTAGTAGTAATTATTGCATTAATGCAAATGCACAATTACTGTAACAAAATAGTAACAAAATTTCATTAGTCTCATTATAGTAACAATTTTTTTAGCAATGAAACTTTAGAAATACTTCAGAAACAAAGTGCCAGCCTCCCCCCTCCCCCTAGTTTTGTAAGTACTTTTGAACCATTTTTTTATGGTACACACATGTCTAGTATTCATTCCATGTGATGACGTACATACTTACTATATATATTACCTCAGTAACCAAAGGCAGAATAACACCAGAGGGAAACCTGTTACTCCCATATCCTATGTGTGAGCTCCAATATATCTTTGATCTGGTGCAGCAGTGTTCTTACATGACATGAGGATATAGACTGTAAGGTCAGATCTGGTGTCAGGAAAGTCTACTGAGGGAAAAATAAATACCAGGAATCTTTGACATGAAGCTTAGATCAAGTTGTAGTCATAGCAAGCAAAATGTGGAAGGTTACTGAGCAATATAGCTCAGGTGTCATGCATTGCTCTTTCCCTTTTATTGCAGTGGAAAATCTTGTTCCTGGATTTCAATGACTAGATGTTATCTGTTAACAATATTATTGTTAATTAAATCAGTATACATTCAAATGCAAGATCCAAGAAGACAGAATACTGTTATTGTGTGCTTCTTAGAAGATTTTCCTAACTGTAAAAAAACCAAATGCTAGAGTTGATGGATCTTTATCTCATCTGGCAATGTAGCTTTTCCCTGATCTTATAAGCTAGGTTTTAGCTCTGTTTCATTAAACCTATTTCTGCTGAACAACATATATTTGTTATACATCTGAAAAGTTAGCATTTGAGGAAATACTCCCAACTTTATTCAACATCGAATCCACTTGTTTATCAAACCAGTTTCAGGCATGGCAACCTAATTATTTGCACAGCTAAACCAGTTCCTCCCATACTGGTTCGAATGTGCCCTTTGTCTGGATACAATCCAATATATGTAACTGTTGATCATTCTTGTATAATTGCAGAGTGACAATTTACTTATAGGATGGTAGCATATCAGGCTTTCTGCATGATATTCCCTCTGGGGTATTCAGTATTTTCTTCTCTTTCCCCATAACACAGGTAGCAACCAGTATGGTTCAATTTACGGGCACACATCTGTAACTACAGGTAGTCTCTTGGATGACCATCACTGGCATTCTGTAGTAATAGAACGCCATGGGAGGAACATCAACCTTACACTTGATAGACACTTGCAGCATTTCCGGATCAATGGGGAATTTGATTATCTGGACTTGGACTATGAGGTATGTAGTTTCAGCTATTCAATGAATATGAATATTAATTGACATATTTTGAAAATGCTCAACTGATTTGTATCAACAATTTGTAATTCAAAACCCACCTGTAGGCAATTTTGTTGTTCCTGTATGTCTTCAAGTCAGATGGGTCTTTACTCAGTGTTTGATATCTCCAGTTAAAAGGACCTACTAGCCAAAGTTTGAAATGTTAGGACTGAACACTAATACCTTGATGATGACTACTGGGATTAGTTTAATTTTGTGCTTTTGATACTGATGTCTGAAATAATGTAATTCAGTGGTTCTCAACCTGGGGTCCCCAGATGTTTTTGGTCTGCAACTCCCAGAAATCCTAACAGCTGGTAAACTGACTGGGATTTCTGGGAGTTGTAGGCAAAAACATCTGGGGACCCCAGGTTGAGAACCACTGGTGTAATTCATTGAACTACTTTATTTTGTCACATAGTAGTCTTCAAAACAGATCATGAGATTTGCAGATGTCATGAATGTTGTCACAGTTCACCGCTGGGACACGTTTTGTTGTTGTCTCCTTGAAAGTGCTAATAGTTTTATTTTAGATGTAACTTACCCAGCAATGGAGAGTGGGTAGTCAAGATGACCATGGTAACCCAGCATGTCTGAAAAACTGTCAAGTTGGTTAAAAGCTATCCTAAAGTAAAAGATTTCATCTTAAACCTGATCACTTAAATTTTGTCAGTGCTTTCCATCCCTTGCTTCTACTTGCTCTCATAGCATGTACACTGTTCACTCACCTTTTAGATGTATAAAGATCAATCTACCTTAAACTGAGATTCTCTGAAAGAGATTGTCTCCTACCCAGATCTTCAGGAGAAGGCTTTCTCCCAGTCTAGTACGTATCACAGGTTGATCTGGTGAGGCCATGTGAGAGGCCTTTTCAGAAGTTGCTTCTAGGTTATGGAGTTCTCTTCAGTTGGTGGCTAGGCTGCTCCCTTCCCATTTCACTAAGGGTAAAGACATTTTCATTCAAGTAGGCATTTTGGCAATTAGATGATTGTATCTTTGATAAGTTGTGTGTACTTTGCTTTTATTCTTACTGTGATTTTTTAAAAAATGATTTTGTGGCATTTTTAAATTGCAAGATTTCCAAAAACTGTTCCAATTATTATCGTTAAAAACTGTGTTATTTTCAGGCTTACTATTTCTTTAAAATATCTGTTATAAGGCATTTTGGTCCCATGTCAAGGGAAATGCAAACAAACAAATCAATCTCGATCTGTTACTTTAGAAGAATTAATAAGGGATGGTGTTAAAGGTTAATAACAAATGATGTTGGGGACACTGATTCATTAAAAAACCAGGAAAAATAATTAGCTTTTTGTGGCAAAATCACAACAAAAACCCTCAAAGAATGTGACCCTGTAATGGAAAGTAATGGATAGAAAACAGAATGAGAGAAAACTAAATGAAGGGGGAAACAAATTAAATTTTTCAAGGTTTATAAATAATGGAAGCGAAAAAGCCAACATTTTTCCTCAGGCAGATCTATGTAGTTGCTTTCATGCTGGGAAAAACTCTGCCTATTGAATTTAGAGAGAGGAGAAAGGAAGAGGAAGTGGAAGATCATCTGGAGAGGCCCTGCTCATGATCCCACCTGCGTCGCAAGTGCGATTGGTGGAGACGAGGGACAGGGCCTTCTCCGTGGTGGCCCCCCCGACTCTGGAACTCTCTCCCCAAGGATATCAGACAAGCCCCAACATTGGCAGTCTTTAGGAAGAGCTTGAAGACGTGGTTGTTCCAGTGTCCCTTCCCAGAATAGGAAACTCCTAGCATCATGTCCCAATTGCACTTTACTAGAGATTTAAGATTGTCTGCACACCGCACCTATATCCAAAAATCTATCCATATCACCTGTCATGTTCAGCATCTTAAAATTTTAATCATTACATTTGGCCCGGCCTTAGTTTTAAATGTGTCATGGTGTTATTGTCCAATGTTTATTGGTATTGTTTTAATGTTTATTGCTTGCTTTATGAGTTTATTTATTGTTGTATTTGTTATGCTGTTGTTGTAAGCCGCACCGAATCCTTCGGGAGATGTTAGCGGGGTATAAATGAAGGTTTATTATTATTATTTAGTGGAGAGGTTTTTGAAGAAAACTATATATTTCATTATCCAAATGCCTAGCATTACACCTCAAATGAGTTCATTACAGCTCATCTCATAGTGACATTAAAGTAGAAGATAAAGTCAATCAATAAGAGAGAATGGAAGAAACATACACACACGCCACACACATTACAAAACATTTTCTAAATTCAATTCAGGCCAATGTATTGCAACGCACCAATCTTTAGCCCTAACAGGTTGAAAGCCTAAAAATGCTACAACTATGTGAGAGCCTTCTGCACAGCATAGAGCGAAGGTGGGGTAGAATTAAAATTTACTACTACTACTACTACTACTACTACTACTGGTTAACATTATTCCTACCCCATCTTTCTTCCCATGCATACTCAACTCCTCATTGCATTTAACTCTTATGGTCCAAGAAAGGATTCATTGTTTATTTTCCTTTTCATGCTCTTGCCTGTTAACTCGACAAGGCAATGAGCAGACTAGAAAAAGACAGGCAGCTCAGAGTCATGTGATACATTTCCTCCAATCCTAATCCTTATTTTGGGGAGCCCCCTCAAGATAAATTGATTTTTCTTGGCAGATAAAGAAGCAGCCACCCCATCATCTTACATATTCTAATTATTTTAAAATATATCCAATGTGTTGTTGTAGGATTTTTCAGGCTATATGACCATGTTCTAGAAGCATTCTCTCCTGACGTTTCACCTGCATCTATGGCAAGCATCTTCAGAGGTAGTGAGGTTCACCTCACTACCTCTGAGGATGCTTGCCATAGATGCAGGTGAAATGTCAGGAGAGAATGCCTCTAGAACATGGCCATATAGCCCGAAAAAACCTACAACAACCCAGTGATTCCGGCCATGAAAGCTTTCGACAATACATATATCCAATGTGTTTAAATGTAGGAATAACTTCAGTATTGACCACAACCATATGGAGTACAACTAAATGGAGGAGCAAATGAATTAAATGAACATTTAATATAATCAATTTTCTCAAACCTGCAGATAGTGGAAGAGTCAAAGCCATGAATAATTCTGCCTATTGAACTTGGCCATTGGGAATGCTAAAAATCTGATTCAGTTTTAACAAGCTTACCTATTTTTTTCAATGCATTTTGTAATTTTGAGCAAATTATGTGACTTGTTTAAAAACATCATAAAAGCAAAGTGGACTGATTTGCCTATTTCAATAACAGGTATTATGTTTTTGCCATTCTTGTTATATATGTTATTTTAAAATTAATTATACTTAGAGAAAACTCTGAAGCCCTGTCATAATTCTGATGCAAAGCATCCTTAAACTTTCTGCATAAAAAATGTTGGCTTGACCAGGGCGAGTCGGCGCTGCTTGTGTTATTGGATCTCACAGCAGCATTTGACACAGTCGACCACAATCTTTTGACTCACCACCTTGCTGCTGTTGGAGTCGGGGAGAGCTTTAAATTGGCTGTCCTCCTTTTTTCACAACCATGGACAGCGAGTGGAGAGGGGAAGCGTGGTCTCTGAGAAGTCCCCTCTATCTTGTGGGGTTCCTCAGGGGGCCATTCTCTCCCCTTTGTTGTTTAACATTTATATGCAACAACTTGCTCAGCTGGTTCGAGGTTTTGGGCTTGAGTGTTACCAGTACGTTGATGACACTTGGCTTGTACTGAAGATGGAAGGCCGACCAGACTCTGTGCCCGATTATTTCCATCAGTGCCTCAAGGCCATTACTGGATGGCTCCATGCCAGCAGGTTGAGGGTAAATCCAGCAAAGACGGAGATCCTATGGCTGGGTCAACCGGGCAGTGGAGATATCCAGCTGCCTACCCCCTGGATGGCGAGGCGCTATGCCCGTCATCATTGGTAAAGAGTCTGGGAGTCCTTTTGGACCCTCTGCTGATGATGGAGGCCCAGGTCTCCACCGTTAGCAGAACCGCCTTTTTTCATCTGCGGCAGGCTAGACGGCTGGCCCCCTTCCTGTCCAGGGACGACCTAGCTACGGTGATCCAGGCTACGGTCATCTCAAGACTGGACTACTGTAACACCCTCTACATTGGCCTTCCTCTTTCGGTGATCCAGAAGCTCAAGCTGGTACAAAATGCAGCTGTTCAGCTTCTTGCGGGAATTCCGATGAGATGCCACATACCACCAATGTTACTGCAGGTGCATTGGTTACCAATTGAGCACCGGATCACTTTCAAAGTGATGGTACTCACCTTTAAGGCCTTGCATGGTCTGGGGCCGATGTACCTAAGGGACCGCCTCTCCCCCTACCAACCCCAGAGAGCCCTCCATTCTGAGGACCAAGATTTGTTGGAAATTCCCAGTCAAGACCTTGCGTCTAACAGCAACCAGATGCAGAGCATTTACAGCAGTGGCACCATCACTCTGGAATACTCTGCCACCTGAAGTCCGTGCCTTGCGGGACTTATCAGCTTTCCGCAGGGCATGTAAGATATATCTGTTTCGACAGGCCTTTGATCTTTGATATTGCTGTTTTTAAATTGTTTTAAATTGTTTTTAAATTGTGTTAGATTTTAGCTTGTTCTTGTAAGCTGCTCCGAGCCCCAGGGGAGTGGCGGCATATAAGTTTGAATAATAAATAAATAAATAAGAGGGTCCCCAAGGTCCCCATACAGTGATTTCTGCCAACCTAACCCTTGTGTCTTCCATCAGTGCCATTGCCTCAGCTGCACTGGGAAGATTCTTACACTATGTATGTTTATGCATCATAAGCAGTGTGGTGGTGCATGCAGTATGGTCACTTCAGCTCCTTCTCTCCCTTTCTGCAAGTGAGGAAAATGGGTTAGAAAACCTTAGGTTATTTTAAGGTCTGAACAAGATATTCTTAGTTGTTGTTCTCAAACAACAGCTTCTAAGACAACAACAAGCTCTAGGCTATTTTAACTTGCTTGATAAATATAAACCAGGACCAGAAGTTCAATTTTTGTTTGTTGTGTCAGGAGTGACTTGAGAAAGTGTAAGTCGCTTCTGGTGTGAGAGAATTGACCGCCTGCAAGGATGTTGCCCAGGGGACACCCGGATGTTTTGACATTTTATCATACTTGTAGGAGGCTTCTCTCATGTCCCCACATGAGGAGCTGGAGCTGATAGAGGGAGCTCATCCGCACTCTCCCCAGATTCAAACCCGTGACCTGTCGATCTTCAGTCCTGCCGGCACAAGGGTTTAACCCACTGCGTCACCGGAGGCTCAAGTAGTTCAAATAAAATCCCTAGGTAGTTTTTCCATTGATGAAGAAAAAAGTGTGGACATGTTATTCAGTCACAGTGAATCAGATTAATCCAGGAATTCTGATCCATCCTTACGAGATTCGCATCTCCATGGAGCCATATAGTTTACCACATGACCTTGGGTCAGTTATTATTTCACTCTGTCCTACTTCACCAGCTTGTTATGAGGATGTAGTGGAGACCTTGCACTCTCTGGAGGGAAAGAAGGATATAAATGTAGGAAACACATAATTAGCTTGTATCTATTATTGGTAACAGAAATGTGGGTGTTGGAGTCATTATATATACTTTGCAAAATAAGGTGTTGTGATTTCAAAAATTCAACTTCAAAATACAGATGGTGTGACATTATTTTTTATCAGGTTGCCCAAATCTGGCATAATCAATTTTATGAAAATTTCCATGTTTGTACCTTGGGTGCAGGTCAAACCGGATTTACCCCCTTCATTGAAATTTGGACATACTTTATCAAATCAAGTCTATTTACGTTCATTTTTGCTATTCAATTGTCAGTGTTGCAGAACTATTGTTCCAGTGATCTTCGGCATATATAAATAGATGAAGGGTGCGATTTTGTCCTTCAGCTTACTTAGAAAAATGTTGTGAGTCATGCCATCCACCTGGCCTTGATTTTTTTTTTCTAAAAAGTAGGATATAAGCAAAATACAACTAACATATAAATATATATAAATAAGTAACACTGATGGCTGCACACAGAAAATTAATAAGTATTAGTTCATACATAATTGCATTGAATGGTTGTCAGAGACTGGAAATAATGTAAAGTTTATTAAACACCCAAAACATGGTTTTAAGTAATGATCATTGTTCAACATTATTTAATTCATTGCTTCTACAGGCAGTTGCAGAGATTTTTGCTGTTTCTTTAGTAATGTTAGATTATTTTTCAGAAAGATTAATTATTATTCATATTCGTAATTAACATGACAAATTACAATCATGTTTTTGATTTCTGTTAGCATTAAATTACTTCATTAATGTTATGTCAAGACTCTGAGACTCGTATAAATAATCTTTCACATGTGCTATCAATTTCATACTGTAAATAGTGGCTCTGATTCTACATTTCATCACTATTTATATGGTAAATAGTTTGTGCTGTCCATCTGCAGTCCACCATAACTGATTCTGTGTCAATTAAAAGCCATATGATCCTTAGAAGCAGATTTGGAGAGGGAGGCAGGATGGGACTCCATTCACAAAAAGAAAATGAAAAAAATGTCTGTTTCCAACCTTATAAAATAAACTGCTTCAAGAAAGAAAGAAAGAAAGAAAGAAAGAAAGAAAGAAAGAAAGAAAGAAAGGGGAAGGGAAGGGAAAGGAAGGGAAAGGGAAGGGAAGGGAAGGGAAGGGAAGGGAAGGGAAGGGAAGGGAAGGGAAGGGAAGGGAAGGAAAGGAAGAAGGAAGGAAGGAAGGAAGGAAGGAAAGGAAGGAAGGAAGGAAGGAAGGAAGGAAGGAAGAGAAAGAGAGAGAGAGAGAGAGAGAGAGAGAAAGAAAGAAAGAAAGAAAGAAAGAAAGAAAGAAAGAAAGAAAGAAAGAAGGGAAGGGGGAAGAAAGAAAGAAAGAAAGAGGAAGGGAAAGGAAAGGAAAGGAAAGGAAGAGAGAAAGAGAGAAAGAGAGAAGAAAGAGAAAGAAAGAAAGAAAGAAAGAAAGAAAGAAAGGAAAAAAGAGAAAGGGAAGGGAAGAAGAGAGAAAGAGAGAAGGAAAAGAGAAAGAAAGAGAAAGGGAGGAAAGAAGGAAGGAAAAAGAAAGAAAGAAAGAAAGAAAGAAAGAAAGAAAAGAAAGAAAGAAAGAAAGGGAAGGAAGGAAGGGAAAGGGAAGGAAAGGGAAGGAAGAAAGAAAGAGGGGGAAAGGAAAAAGGAAAGAAGAGAGAGAGAAAGAGAGAAGGAAAAGAAAGAAAGAAGAGGAAGAAGAAGGAAGGAGGAAGAAGGAAGGAAGGAAGGAAGGAAGGAAGGAAGGAAGGAAGGGAAGGGAAATGAAGGGAAAGGAAGGGAAGGAAGGGAAGGGAAGGGAAGGGAAGGGAAGGGAAGGGAAGGGAAGGGAAAGGAAAGGAAAGGAAAGGAAGAGAGAAAGAGAGAAGGAAAGAGAAAGAAAAAGAAAGAAAGAAAGAAAGAAAGAAAGAAAGAAAGAAAGGGGAAGGGAAAGGAAGGGAAGGGAAGGGAAAGGAAAGGAAAGGAAAAGAAAGGAAGAGAGAAAGAGAGAAAGAGAGAAAGGAAAAAGAAGACATACACAATACCTTAATAATAGTCTCCCAAGCAGGCATGTTTCAGGATCAGATCGTCTTCTTCAGTTGGTACCATGACTCAGTGCTGTGGACTCCTGAGATCTGTAGTTTGGTAAGGCACCAATACTCTGGTAGAAAAGGTTAAAGACGTTTTAAAACTACCATTCCCGGGATTCCATAGCATTGAGCTATGACAATTAAAATGGTATTACATTGAATCAATCAATTATATAATGTATCATTTCAGTGAAACCTTGCAACTTTTTGTTTGCAGGGCCCTTTCTAAATTCAAAACATTTCTGTCCATTGAAATAAATAGGAGAAAAACACTTGAAGACCATACACGTGAGCCCTTGAAATAAAACAACAAAGTACATGCTATCTATTTATCCTGTTTCATTTTTGCAACAGTGAAGAAAAACAGATAAGGAAAAGATGTGTCAATCATTTAAAAGTTACTCGGGTCTCTTTGAAAAAAAATTGTAATAAAATATGGGAGAAGAGAGAAGAAGCGTTGTCACTCGCCTTATAAAGTGTTTCACTTTTCTTTTTAAAGATAACATTTGGGGGCATGCCTTCTTCTGGGAAGCCAAGTTCAAACAGCAGAAAAAATTTCAAAGGCTGCATGGAGAGCATAATCTACAATACTAATAATATCACAGATATGGCCAGGAGGAAGAAACTGGAGTTTTCTAGTGCTGTGAGTATGTTACCTTGTGATCATTTCAACTGAAACTCAAATATATCTAGTGTATATATATGTTTTTTGTACATAAAATCATAGAGTTGGAAGAGACCACAATGGCAATGCCCTGCCATGCAAGAATACATAATCAAAGCATCCCCTACAGATGATCATCCAGCCTCTGCATAAAAAACTCCAGAGAAGGAGATTCCACCATACTGCAAGGCAGTATGTTTCACTGTCAATCAGATCATACCACCAGGAAGCTTTTCCTAATGTTTAGGTGGGATTTCTTTTCCTTTTGTTTGAATCCATTGCTCTTGAGCAGCAGAAAACAAATCTTGTTCCCTCCTCAATATGACATCTTTTCAAATATTTAAAATGTGTGCTTAAAATCTGATTTCTGCCAAAAAAAATGTGCATATTCGCATCATGGTATATCCCTGCAGTTAAGAAAAACACATTACTTTGTTGCTATACACTAGAGTGGACTGCTTCAGCATGTGTACATTTTAAAATCCTGAAACAGCTGGTGAGGGCTGTCAACAAATGAAGCCACAGACACACAGGTGGCTAAATGAAAGCACAATTGGATAGCAATTCCCATGAGAACTCTGCAAGCATTCCTTTGGTATAATGTTTATATATTATATTCTAATGTTTATATATTATAATATATATTTATATACTATTTATACATTTATGAAATTAATCCAAGCTTGAATTTACACACTGGGCACCAACATGGCAGGCAAGTGTCCCCAAAGGGAAGCAATGTTCAAGATGGGAAAAGTAAAAGCAGCAGGAATGTGAGGAGAGTTAATGACAAAAAATCTGCTTATGTGCACATTAGTATATCTGCATCAGCGCTTATGAAGTCCTGCACATCTTGGAGAGTCAATTAAAAAAATTAAAAGAAAACTTCTGGCAGATATCCCATGCATCCATTTTGCAGATTTTTAAAATCCGCTACAACTGAACCTGTCAGGACGCCTGGGGACCATTTACTGGGGCTGACAGCTCTGTGTCTGGACTCTCCTTAAAGTCCAACAATTTTTAAATCCACCTCTTTGTCCCGGATTATGAGGCTATCTATAAGGTCCCTCAGCTATCTTTATAAGATGGTCACTTCTTTCAACTAAAGCACTTTCAGTAATACTCTGAAGGACTCAGGCTCTTATAAATGTGATTTTTGGATTTATGATTCCTGGATTAAGTAACCAGACTGAGACCGTGACTTTCTGCACTCTGTTTCTGATATACAGCTTTCTTGACCCTGGACTGTTTTGACTTTGACACTCTGAATTTTTATTCAGCACTGAGAATGAACACAGCTTCCATGACAGCTGCTCTGCAAATATGCAGAACCACACACCTCTTCCTGCCCCTAGTCTGTCATATAAAACAAAAGAAGACAGAATAGATAGGACCAAGTTTTGCCTGTCACTATGGTAAAAATGGGACATCCTTAATTCTCCATTGTATTCAGATTGCTATACAGTACTTACTGAACTTCCAATGAGTTTCCCAGTTAAATAGGGCATAATGTTAGTATTCTTGGCTATTTTGCATTTTTAGATCCCAGTTTATAGTCTTTTTAAAAAGCATGATATACAAGGAAAGCAAGTGTGAGCTCCCCTTTTCCGGCTCCCTTTGTGTGGAGGGAAGGTCTCTCACCAGTCACTGGGCTTAGGTAAGATGGAGCTCTTCCTGGCTGCTGTTCCTTCCCTCTGAAACCACAGTAATTGTCATGGGAACAGAGACGTGTCCTCACTGGGGTAAAGGCATAATGGAGATATACCTCAATGCTATTCTCACTCTCCCTTGGAAGATATATGCGAGGTGTATTTTTTAAGTAAGGTCCGTTTTGTTGTAGACACTAGTAGTTTGCGTGCATACCGCAACGAGCGTATGCGTCGTGTACCGACATGCCTCGGAAACAACTGTGCTCAGTTTCCACTCTGTAGCTAACCTGTACGGGTCTGTTCTGTGCTTTAAAAATGTTTAAGACTGTCAACTCACCCGCCGCATGTGAGGTTTGCTCAGTGATACGGTTTTTGTCAGCAAGGAACCTGCCTGCTGCTGAAATTCATCGACAGATTTGTGAACTGTACGGTGACACTGTTATGAGTGAAAGCAAAGTGTGTAAGTGGGTACAACAATTCAAAGATGGCCATGACAACGTCCATGATGAGGACCGCGCCGGTCGCCCTTCTTTGATTACAGACGATTTGGTGGCTTCAGTTGAAGCGGTATGCGCGCGAACTACTAGTGTCTACAACAAAACGGACCTTACTTAAAAAATACCCCTCATATATACCCGTATTTTTCAGGGGATTCTATTTTTCAGGATTTTGATGGTCCTAAGAATGTCTACATAACACAACATCTTTCTGTAGCTGTGTCAATGTCCTGTTAAAATTACTGTTAAACCACTCCACCATGTATCACAATCCAAAGCAGTCCAAGGTAATCCGCAGCATTTAGCCAAAATATGGGTGAGACACAAGAGTAGTCCAAAGTCCTTTCCAGAATGTTCAAACCAAGTAATCTCACCAACACTGAGGCTGCAAGCCAAAACATATTCCACACACCAAAGTCAAGGTTCACCAGCAGAGATTCAGGCTGTAACCATTTCACTGATTTTTAAAAAATAATCTTTATTGAAATTTTCATAAAAATACACATTTTCTAAAAACACTTTAGTGGATACAGAAAAGAAAAAAGAGAAAAAGAAAGAAAATATAGAAGAAAAAAGAGAAGAGAAGAAGAAAAAAATAAATAAAGAATTTATCGAAGAGTTTGATCTCCTGGTATCTTTCAGAAGTCTTCCATATGATCATCTTGTTTTATACCTTCACTTCTTATCCTTTTCTTGTTTTTCTTTCCCCTCTTTTTTTGTGTTACATCTTAAATCACTATCTCTTTCTTCTTTTTTCTAAAGTAGTCAGTAACTTCTTTCCAATCTGTTTCTTTCCTTCTCATTTCTTTATTCTTCAGCAATAGAAAAGTGAGTCTGTCCATATTTCTAATTTCTAAAATTTTTATCAACCACTCATCTTCTTCTGGTGTTTCTTCTTGCTTCCATCTTCTTGTGAAGCATATTCTTGCTGCTGTTAAGATTAATAATAATAATAATAATAATAATAATAATAATAATAACACTTTATTTGTACCCCACTACCATCGCCCCAAGGGACTTGGTGCGGCTCACATGAGGCCGAGCCCAAATACAACAATACAAACAGTAATAACAACATTTTTGTACATGCCTAATAAAAATAATTCTGGTTTCCATGATAATTGCATGTTTAGCATAATTTGGATCTCTTTCTGTATTTTCTTCCAATATTCTTTTGCTCTGTCACATGTCCACCACATGTGATAGTAAGAGCCTTTTTTTTTTTTTTTTGCATTTCCAGCAGGTTGTGCTTGTGTTATTGTAGATCTTTCCCAATTTCTTCAGTGTCATATACCATTTTGTGACATCTTAACCCATTGGGTTAGGCTGTAACCATTTCACTGGGTTAGGCTGTAACCATTTCACTGATGTTGCTACCAGCACCTAACTGATCCAGCCTCCAGCTACTTATGCCATTTTCCCAAGTGATCCCTCTTGTTGGCCCTCCTCTCAACCAACCCACTGGATGTCTTCAGTTGAATTGCATCAGTTCTTAATTGCAGCCTAGCTGGAATAGTTAGTTCCTGGTTTGCTTCCTGAAGCCCCTGATCCTACCCTGATTCTATATCCCTATTTTCTTGGGGCTCCTTCTCTGCAGAGATGGGTTCCTCAATGTCTGACTGCTCATCTATGGTCCCTTCTACACTGCCATATAATCTAGTTCAAAGCACATAATCTGGATTTTATATGGCAGTGTAGAAGGGGCCTATATTTGCCACTGACTCAGATAATGGGTGAAGAAACCTTTCCCCTTCCCCTTCATCCTCAACACAAGCCATGACAAGCTGACTGTTTTTTTTTATTATTGTATAATACTACAACAAGAGTTATACATGCAGTTTCAGCAAGAGGATGTTGGAAATGTGGAGAACCTGGGGGCTTACTCGATTTCCAATGTAAATACAGGGCATTAAAATTGCTATCTCTTTTGTTTCAAGCTGAGTTACTTCCATTGCTTTACCTCAAGGAAGAGAAGATCAATCTTTTTATAATTGAATCAGTATGGATTTTCATTTTTCTTCTTTTTGCACTCCTTGTTATTGCCCTATGGAATTGGTTTAGCATAAGACAGTTACAGTAAGATACATAAATTTAGATATTGGAAAAGAAATGCTGCAATATGCCTAGTTCTAAAATTATTTTCAAAATGAATTCTGAACAAACACAGGGTTAGTGTCGAACAACCCTTGTTGCACATGTGAGAATACTGAGGCCCCTTCTACACTGCTCCTATATCTCAGGATCTGATCCCAGATCAGGGGTCCTCAAGCTTTTTAAACAGAGGGCCAGTCACAGTCCTTCAAACAGATGGAGGGCCGGATTATAATTTGGAAAAAAAGAATGAATTCCTAGAACATTGCACATATCTTATTTGTAGTGCAAAAAAACACTTTAAACAATACAATAATTAAAATGAAGAATGATTTTAACAAATATAAACTTATTAGTATTTCAATGGGAAATGTGGGCCTGCTTTTGGCTGATGAGATAAGATTGTTGTTGTGTGCTTTCAAGTAATTTCAGACTCAGGTTGACCCTGAGCAAGGGCCGGGTAAATGACCTTGGAGGGCTGTATCCGGCCCCTGTGCCATAGTTTGAGGACCCCCGACCCAGATTATCTTTTTATCCCAGATTATCTGCCAGTGGAGATTCATATAATTCAGTTTAAAGCAGATAATCTGGGTTCAGATCCCGTGATATAGGGCAATGTTGAAGGGGCCTGAGAGAAGATTCATGAGCTATTTTTTGCTTCACTCCTAAACTTTTATAGACCCAATTGGAACCATCTCACCTGTCTCAAGAGTGCTTTTATCTACCAGCATTTATGGGCATCAGACATGTAGCCGGGTGGGGGGAGGGGGCTTGGGGGGCTTCAGCCCCCCCCCCAATTCTCATTATTTAAACTGTTATGTTTACTCATATCATGATCTGATCACCATGCTCAATATATCCCATATATATGGGGGTATTGGGGTAACGATACAAAAGGTTTGCTAGGGTAGACCCTCTTTCACTCAGACTCAGCCCCCCCCCCCCCGAATCAAACTCAGCTCCCCCCGAAACAAAATCCTGGCTACGAGCCTGATGGGCCTAGACATTTAAGTAAGAAGAGGGACCTCACCAAAATGTGGGGACATTGCATCCCTGCTCAAAACCACAGACCACCTCTGTTTTACAGAGAGCTTGCATTAAAGAAATGAGAGTATGCAATAAATACTTTATTTGTCTCAAATATTGTATGCTGAAACCATGTTCGCACAGTTACTTCAGTTGAACACACCTCTACATTTTATTAAGTCCCCTTTCCTCTTAAATTTATCTTATTTTTGCTCACACTGAGTCTGATCGAAAACATACTAAAATCTGTCTCCAAGGTAGAGAAATAAAAGTAGCTAAACAAAAGGTGCATTGATGCTGTAGGATTAATGCAGTTTGACACCACTTTAATTGCCCTGGCTCAATGATGTCAGGATCTGTGGAGTCTGTTTTGTTCCAAACATTATTTCACTTTTTTGGAGGTAGTACTTTATTGGTTAACAGAACAACCTACACATAGCATTTAGTATCAAGATTGAGCTATTAATGCAGTTTGACACCACTTTAACTTCATACAAGTGCCATTAAAAAAGAGCATCCAGCTGATCATAACTACAACAGTCCCAAATATTTTGAGACGTTGATACTTTATGAAATGTCTCTCCTTATTTATACCTTACCTGAGAACTAAGGTCTTTTGAAGAGGGACCTTCTATATGTCCCATCTACTGGATCAATACTCTGTGAGAATGAAGGCCCCACCTATAATGCCATATAATGCAGTTTGAAACTACATTATTTATTTGTTTGTTTGTTTGTTTGTTTGTTTACAGCTTTTATATTCCACCCTTCTCACCCCGCAGGGGACTCAGGGCGGATTACAGTGTACACATATATCGCAAACATTCAATGCCAATTTTGACATACAACATATACAGATATAGACAGAGGCTATTTAACTTTTTCTGGCTGCCAGGGGAGCTGTCGCTTTCATCGTCCATCTGTGACACTGATGAAGGACTTCCGCATTCCCCGCATGCTTTTTGCTGGAGTGCTTGCTGGAGTCTTTTTTATGGCCTCATAAATTAGTTAATTTAGCCTTCCCACACTTTAAGGTGGTACCTAATTTCCCTACTTGACAGATGCAACTGTCTTTCGGGTTGCAAAGGTTGACAACAGGCTACACAATTGGTTGGAAACCCACTCTGACCCGGGCTGGCTTCGAACCCATGACCTTTTGGTCAGAGTGATCTTAATACAGCTGACACTCAGCCAGCTGCGCCACAATCCCGGTGGTCTACACAATATTCAGTGTAGACCAGTGGTTCTCAACCTTCTTAATGTCATGACCCTTAATACAGTTCCTCATGTTATGTTGACCCCCAACCATAACATTATTTTCATTACTACTTCATAACTGTAATTTTGTTACTGTTATGAATCGTTATGTAAATATCTGATATGTAGGATGTATTTTCATTCACTGGACCAAATTTGGCACAAATACCCAATATGCCCAAATTTGAATACTGCTAGGGTTGGGGGGGGGGGGGTGATTTTGTCATTTGAGAGTTGTAGTTACTGGGATTTATAGTTAACCTACAATAAAAGAGCATTCCGAACTCCACCAACAATGGAATTGAACCAAACTTGGCACACAGAACTCCCATGAGGAACAGAAAATACTAGAAGAGTTTGGTCGACATTGACCTTGACTTTTGGAGTTGTAGTTCACTGTAGTTGTAGAACACTGTGGAATCAAACAATGATGGATCTGGACCAAACTTGGCACGAATACTCAATATTTCCAAATTTGTACAGTGGTGGAGTTTGGGGAAAATAGGCCTTGACATTTGGGAGTTGTAGTTGCTGGAATTTATAGTGCACTTACAATCAAAGAGCATTCTGAACTCCACCAACGATAGAATTAGGCCAAACTTCCCACACAGAACCTCCATGACCAACACAAAATACTGTGTTTTCTGATGGACTTTGGTGACCCCTCTGACACCCCCTTGCAACCTGCCCAGGGGTCCCAACCCCCAGGTTGAGAAACACTGCTGTAGAGTCATTCAAAACAGTTCAATGCAGTCAAGCTGATTATGTGAGTCCACATTGACCATATGATACACCAACTGCTTACCCAGTCAACTTTCAACCATGAGTTTTGGTTTGTATTCTATTTCTACTATACGTCAGTTCTGCATCTGTGCTTGGTGCAAGTTTTCTATATTTTTGTGTTTTTATTATGTAATTCTTTTGTATATATTTTACATTCATATGTTTTTGACTTTGTTGTACCCTGCCTCAAGTCATCAGGAGAGGTGGGTCATGAATGAAAATTATTATTATTATTATTATTATTATTATTATTATACATGTTTTATAATGTTGAAATTATTTGTATTGTTTTAATTTTCAATTGTTTTACCTTTAAAAAAAATTTGAATTGACTTTATTTGAAGCCATCCAAAGATCTTAAAATATGAGATGGGAGAGTAAAACCTATTAAATATAAATGAGCAGTTCTTCCCCAGCTCCTCATAGATGTTAAATAGCAGAGGTCAGTGAACATAAGACATTTTGACTATGACTGCAGATCAATGCAAGAATAGTCCTCATCTCCTAACATCAAATCTGAAAGATACCATGGCCAGTGGTATCACATGTAATTTGGGCTGGATCTATGCTGCCGTATAATGTAGTTTCAAAATTCAGATTAACTGGCAGTACAGATCCAGCCTGAGTCTGACTTCTGAGTAGAACGGTTATAGAAAATATTTTCCTTTGAATATATTTTTGTACATATGGTAGGTATTTCTTAACTTTAAATAATAGTATTCATAGATAAAAGTTTAAATGTTATATTTTTCATGTGTTTATTAATGTGTCTTGTTTTTAAACAGGGGAATTTAAGCTTCTCGTGTGTGGAGCCTCATACCGTGCCCGTCTTTTTCAATGCAACCAGTTTCCTGGAACTGCCTGGCCGTCCAAATCAGGATGTATTTTCAGTCAACTTTCAGTTTCGAACATGGAATCCAAATGGACTTCTGCTTTTCAGCAACATTGCTGAAGGAAGGGGAGCTGTAGAGATTGATCTGATCGAGGGCAAAGTCAGCGTTCATATCAATGTCAATGTCACTGTGGACAAGAAGAATCAGATAGACATATCTTCAGGTGAGCACAATAACTCCTGATATTTCTTTTCTGAAAGGCCAGTTATTTTACAAGTTGGAGATAGCTCTCCACGGAGATTATAATTTTATCCTTAACTAGCGGTCCCCTGCCACGCGTTGCTGTGGCCCAGTCTGGTGATCTGGAAAATAAAGTAATGAGAAAGTGTTGGTTTCTAATATATGTAATTTCTTTCTGCTTGTGGGTAAACAGTATTTCTTGCTGTTCCTTTGCCAGTATTGATGTGGAAATTGTCTGGTTTGCCTACTCTGGAACATGCAACATATCTTTATGTCCTTCTTTAGGAGTCCCTTTTAAATCTTTGATATTGCATCTGTCATATACATGTGTGTGTGTGTGTGTGTGTGTGTGTGTGTGTGTGTGTGTGTGTGAATGGCTGGATGGCCCTTTGTCAGGAGGGATTTGATTATGTTTTCTTGCCCTGGTGAAGGGAGTTGGACTGGATGGCTTTAAGGCAGCATTTCTCAAGTCAAGACCCCGGGGGGGGGGGGTCACCAGGGGGGTGACAGAAGGGTCACCAAAGACCACCAGAAAACACAGTATTTTCTGCTGTTCATGAGGGTTCTTTGTGGGAAGTTTGGCCCAATTCTGTTGTTGGTGGGGTGCAGAATGCTCTTTGATTGTAGGGGAACTATAAATCCCAGTAACTAAAACTCCCAAATGTCAAGGTCTATTTCCCCCAGACTCCATCTGTGTTTTTATTTGGGCATGTTGAGTATTCGTGCCAAGTTTGGTCCAGATCAATCATTGTTTGACTCCACAGTGCTCGCTGGATGTTGGTGAACTACAACTCCAAAACTCAAGGCCAATGCCCACCAAACCCTTCTAGTGTTTTCTGTTGGTCAGGGGAGTTCTGTGCGCCAAGTTTGGTTCAATTCCATTGTTGATGGAGTTCAGAATGCTCTTTGATTGTAGGTGAACTATAAATCCCAGCAACTATAACTCCCAAATGACAAAATCATAATTTTTTGAGTGATGGTCACTCCTTGTGTCGTGAGAGGTTTTGTTGCCAAATTTGGTGTGATTTCGTTCATTGGTTCTTTTGTTTTTAAGGTACTCATTATGCACAGAGCATTTTATATATATAGATTGCTTTGTGTTGGAAGAAAATGTTCCTTAGGTTGCAATGAAAAACTCAAAAATATTTTCTTGCTTATGAATTATGTTGTTAAAAGGTCTCAGTCTAGTGGTAATAATGTAAAATTGTCCGAATACTTTTATTTATGTGACTTGGAAAGTCATACCTAACTTGTTAGCTTTCTAGTTCAAGAAACACTGGCACCATCTACACTGCCATCTAATGCAGTTTGAAACACATTATATGGTCAATGTAGACTCATAACAGATTGAACTGCATTATATTAATCTACACTGCCAGGAGCCCCCAGTGGTGCAGTGGGTTAAAGCACTGAGCTGCTGAGCATGTTGATCAAAAGGTCACAGGTTCGATTCCGGGGAGCGGCGTGAGCTTCCGCTGTCAGCCCTAGCTTCTGCCAACCTAGCAGTTCGAAAACATGCAAATGTGAGTAGATCAATAGGTACTGCTCCAGCGGGAAGGTAACGGCACTCCATGCAGTCATGCCGGCCACATGACCTTGGAGGTGTCTACGGACAACGCTGGCTCTTCGGCTTAGAAATGGAGATGAGCACCACACCCCAGAGTCAGACATGACTGGACTTAATGTCAGGGGACTACCTTTACCTTTTTACACTGCCATATTGAACTGCATTGAACTGGATTATATGCGTCTACACTGCCATATAATGCAGTTTGATCTGCCTTATCATGGCAGTTTAGATGGAACCACTGTGAAGTAGAAGTGGAAAGAGACTTACCAATTCTTGAAAAATCCATGGGAAATATATGTATTTTGTAGCAGGAAGGTTGAGATCAATCACAACTAATTTACAACTATTAATGTATTGACAAGTTATTAAGGTCTTAATACTGCTCAGTCTATGTATGCAACATTTTATAGAGTTACACAGAAACTAAGCCTTCTCAAAAAGACTGCCAATCTACATTTCTAACATTGATTAAGTCCACGTAAAGAGAAGAGGGAAAAGTCCAGTTTTCATTTTCTCAATATAATTGGAATAATTAACTGATGGCCAAACTGGTTCCAACCACATATTTTGGATTAGAGCTTTCATACTTTTGTATAATTTGTCATATGGTGGGCCACTGGGTTGCTTTATCTGCAAGAGTAATTATATTCACTTGTACCTCAAGGACCAACACCTGCTTACTAAGAATATATATGTTTATATGGAAAACATTACTACACGCACAAGTTTTCAAGTAACATAATATATGAAAGCTTCTTTGAATGTCAAAGAAACATGCCCTTCTCTCACAGTGAAAGACATAAAAGTCCATCTGGGTTCTTCTCAAAACTAAAAAACATTTCATTTCTTCCTTCCCAAAAGACCTACTAACAGTGAAGTCTTCTCACTTGTCTCTTAAAGGGGGAAAATATTATGCGCTCTTTCCTGTTAGCCTAGTGAAATAGTATTTTCTAGTGTGGTTCTGGCGCAACATATGGATCAAAGTTAAAGTCTGGCCTGGGGAAACATGACAACAGATCTTTTGCGGTATTTCAGACATTTCCCTATATTTGTAGCAGTTATTCACAAAGGAACTATGATTTCTTCAATTTAAAGGCATAGAGATAAACTGTCTTGGTCAGCTTGAAATCAAAATGGACACAATGCAGCCAGAAGTAGACCTTTTTGTCTCATTTCAGTCAGAATAGTAAAGACCCTTCTACACAGGCCCTAAAATGTAGGAGAAACCAGAATAAAGAGGGGAGTTGCTAAATGACATTTCAGGAAAATGTGTGCAGATTCACATATATAACTGAAAACCATGTGTTAAAAAGGCAGACTTAGAACCTGATTTCAGCCAAAAAATGTGCACATTCGCCTGACTGTAAATCTCTGCAGTCAAGGAAACCATGTGACTCCATCACTATACACTGGTATAGACTGCTTCAGTGCATGTGCACATTAAAAAATCCCAAAACAACTGATGTGGTCTGTAAATAAATGGAGCCATAAACACACAGCTGTTCAGCAGTGGAACTCTCTGCCCTGGAGTGTGGTGGAGGCTCCTTCTTTGGAGGCTTTTCAATAGAGGCTGGATAGTCATCTGTCGAGGGTGCTTTGAATGCAATTTTCCTGCTTCTTGGCAGGGGGTTGGACTGGATGGCCCATAAGGTCTGTTCCAACTCTATGATTCTATGATTCTAGGTGGCTAAATGGAAGCACAATTGGAAGCAATCATAATGAGAACTCTACAACTATTCCTTTGTTCTGATGTTTATGAAATTAAACAGAGCTTGAATTTACATCAGGGAGAAGAGAGATAATAAGAAATCTCCTTGTGTGCACTTTTAGATATACAAATCAGTTCATATGTAGTTCAGTGCATCTTGGAGCATCCATTTGAAAAAAAATAAAAGTAGATTTCCATTAAGTGTCCCCTGTCCATCTTGTGGATTTCTAAAATCCGCTATAAACAAATGTGTCAGGATGCCAGGGGAACATTAACCGGGACTGCCAGCTCCATGTATGGACTTGCTGTCAGATACCACAATTTTTTGCCCCACTTATTTGTCCCGCATTTTGATGCTCTCTGGAAGCACCCTAAGTAGGTAGGACTTCATCACATGAATTGTGAGGTTTGTCCTCTGCTCCCCCTTCTTTTGCTGCTTGGTTAATATTTAGGATGGATGTCCTGGGTGATAAATTTTTGCTCACGTTCCAGTATCACCTTTTCATCTCCAAATAAATTTTGACTACATGGATAATATTTTTATGCATTTGTTTTGAAACTGATGTTAAGTCAAAATGTGAATCAGGCAAGCTTGCAGAGCAGGGGTCTCCAAACTGGGATGCGGCCTGCCTCTCGCCCTAAACGTTGGACTTTGGATCACTCTTTGTCTGAAACGACTTGAAGGCATACAACACCAACAATCCTAATTAACTTAACTATCTCATCAGCCAAAAGCAGGCCCATACTTCCCACTGAAATACTGGTAAGTTGATGTTGGTTAAAATTGTTCTTAATTTTATATATTGTATTGTTCTTTCATGTTGTTTTGCCCTACAAATAAAAATGTGCAGTGTACATAGGAATTCATTCATGTTTTTTTCAAACTGTAGTCCAGCCCTCCAACAGTCTGAGGGACCACAAACTAGCCCTCAACTTAAAGAGTTTGAGGACCCCTGTTGTAGAGTACTGTTGTAGTGTAGAACTCTAGTTGATTTGTTCTGCTGCGGAAAAGAAAAGCGTTGTTGTAGATGTTGTTTCCATCAGAGACATGAGACTTGAAGGAGAAGGACTGAACAGATGTCCATTTCAGGGGAAAATTTGCTTGATGATTTTACTGGGATCAAAAAGAAACATTTTCTTTGACAAGGTTTTTATACCAGCAATTGATACTTGACACTGGTTTGTTAGAACTCTAATTTACTGTTGCATTTGTTTGCTTCTAGAAGAGATTGAAATCTTTGTCTTTCATTTTACCTTGCAGTTTCTGTCTTCAATCATTTATATGCAGGGAGAGGAATTCATTGATAGGCTAGGTAACATGGTAGACATTTTAAAAATAAATGATGTAGTTGTTTTGTTAGCATAACTGTAAGCAAAGGAATCTGGTGTTGCTCCTGTTGTTTGAAATAGTATACACAGCTATTTTATGTGCTCCATTCAGTAAAAATGACTGGATGAATAAGGACTAGGAAGGTAAATGAATAGGTATATGCTGACAGTTTTGAATATCACAATCACCAAGACAAGAGTGAAGAGTGTGCAGTTCTATGTGCAATTTTGTGTGTTTTCTATATGTGCACATGTTTTTTCAATACATTTAATTCATTTTATAGAGTTTTGAAAAGAAATGTGTCACTTTATTTGACCTACTAACTATTAAAAAATAAAATATGGAAAACTTGCTAGAGGTGGAGCATAATCTGGT